TTATTTTCTCCACCATAAATTATCCGCTTGGTAGAAAAACTTGAAACTTTGATACAGACAAGTTGAGAGACTCATGAACATCCTCCAACTGGAATCACTCCAAAATTCATCCGTTTGACCACTTTTTGCTCCAAAGGAAGTCGAATGTCCTACATTAGAAATATAAATCAAAGTATAAAAATTCTCACAAAATAACCAATAAATTAATACTAAGAATATGGCAAAATATATAATGTAATATCGATTCATCAGTGACCTAATCTCATGTGCCATAAATATACTATCTCGTTCTTCCTTGTCTTGTCTATGTATATAGTTTTTGCTGACATTACATAGACTGACTCCAATCTCAAGGACCGTACATGACATAGCCTTACTGACATAGGCTATCGGTAAGTTTGTATTATTGACTATCACTATCATGTGACTTCCCTTGTATTCAAAAAAATATTGCGACTTCTCTTTATCACCCATCATGTGATTTGAATAGCATGGGTCAAATCATTGTTGTAGTTAATCCATTCCGGCTTCACTACTTTTAGAGCTAATTCTTCTTCCTTCCCACCTTTTGACGAGACCCCTTTTATTTGCTTAACCATAGATTCTTGATGAACAAGCAAATTTTCAAACTCAAGAAGTGATGGTTGAGTCGGCCATCCTAACACAACAACAACGAAACCTCGATATTCGGCTCTCAACAATGGATAATTATTCTCTTTATCATGGATTCTACAATAGCTGTCTAATTTAGAAATTTCATGGCATATGGACTTTACTTTGTGGAAGTACTAAGCAATCATATCATGTCCCATTATGCCACTAACTACAACTCATTCTCGAAAAGTTGTAGCCTATGTTGTTTGATTTTGAAAAGAGTGTGGCAAATGTGTCCTATGCTTCTTTCGTTGTGGCTTTTCGTATGTGCTCCAACATATCCTCTTCATTTGTGGTCTTTAGGGCAAACATGACATTATCTGCTTTGATCTTCCACATATGCAAAGTGTTATTGGTGTCTTCTTCCATCTGAGTAACTTTATTACCGTGAACGACCTTCCAAAGACCTTGTCTTTGTAGATAAGACTCCATGCATGTTGCCCACGTGTTATAATATATATATATATATATATATATATATATTTTTTTTTTTGAGTTTCTTGATTCCTCGAATTACTTGAATATCACCCATCATGCCGGCATAATTTCAATATGTTGAATAAGATTAGTTAGCAATATTGTGAAGTACTAAACTTTTCACAATTCATGGAAGCTTCTCCAAAGCGGATCCTTGATTGTACCGCTCTGATACCAATTGTCTACCAGTTGTATTACACTCAGATATTACAACACACAAACTCTCAAAGACACACTTTTAGAAACTATGACATTCTCTTACTCTCTCTAGAATACTCACACTCTTCACAAAGACCTTATATCTCACTCTCACACTTAGAGTAGAACTCACTTCTTGGTTGATTCAAACATGGTGGATGCCTTCTCCTTTTATACGTATGGATGGAACTTAGGAGAAACATGGAAACACCATGCTGGAAATATCTAGCTAATTTCACAAACATTCTTTGCTAGAAGGCAGTGCTATCCACAAAAATATTTTGACTTCTCACACACCTCTCTCAATTTCGGCCGTTGGATCGAATGAATTGAAAAGATTAAGGGCAAAAAAATTAATAAGTGTGTGTTGGAGGTAAAAATGCGTGTGTGAATAACAATATCCTTGCTAGAATTGTCTGGAAAATTTCCATATTTAAAATGCATATCATGATGATAGAATCTTCTGGCATTTATCTTGAGAACACCAAAAAAAGTTTCATGATATGCTGGGTTTAATGAGCTTGTGTTGATCTTTAACAGACGAGAGAGAAAGCCTCAAAGGATCGGGCGGAGGGAAAAAAAATGAAGATGAGAGAGAGTAAAGGATTATTATCATTATTACTAGCATTTGCCTATACACTTTGTGTGTATGAACATATTTTTTTTAGAAAATGAGAAGGAGAAGGGGAGAGATAGCGAATGTGGGGGAGTGAGAGGTTTTGTTTTTGGTTTTTTATTTATTTTTTTATTTTTATATTGAATGTATTTTAACATCACATGTAGATGAGGCTTCAATAAAAAACAGTAAAATTTGAACCTGTGAAATTATATTATTGCCCATCATTTTTTTTTTTTTTTTTGTGATAGAAGACTAATTTATCTTTTCACCCTATTTTAATTGACAAAGAGGATTTCATTAATTAGTAGAGATTATTATTTTAATAAAAAATAACTTCAATCAAGGGGACTAGCCCCTTAAGCATCTAGTTTGAGTACAATCAAACAAATACGATGATAAGCAGAGGGGGAGGAGATCTATCCCACACATGCAAATCATTATAAGAAAAGCCATAATTAGTGACAATATCCACGCTTCACGGAACACATGCTTCTAGGTAATTTTTGTCAAAGTGAGCAGCCAGTTTCCTTATGCCTTAGGTAATGGTCTTTAATCTCCCGGGCACGTTGAAAAAACCACGGATGGATTCAATCACTAATTTGGAGTACTCCCTCGACATTGACCCTTTTGAAGCCCTTGCTCCTAGCCATACACAGACCATCACGTAGCGCAAGACACTCTGCAATAGAGATTGTATTGTCCCCCCAACCTACGAGCCCTCGCAATAATGGACTCCATTGGTATTTTGATTTCGGGAACTCCAGGTACTTGAAACGGTTCTTGGACAACATTAGTATCCCAGAGTGTTTCTTCACCAATTTCTATCGAAGATGATATATGTTTGTTAGCGATGTCGTTGTCATCACGTTCTAGTTTCGGAATATCATATAGCCCTCTTTTATCAATCTTCTAAACAACTTTCTGACCATGTCGTCTAGATAGAATATTTGTTTCGCAATAGTTGCCAAAATGTATGTGTCTTCATCGTACCAATGTCTGGTAGTGTTTACTGATAGTAAACCGTGGTCTCGCTTAACACTTGTTTGATTATATGTGGGTTCGTATCAAACCAAAGACACTTAAACAGGATCACTTGACACCTGTCTTCGTAAAGCAATTGTACTACATTAGTTAGTTTGCCATAGAAATCAATGTCTTTATTGTCGCCTGCACTCGGGACAAGGACACCACTATTTTGAGTAGATGGCTTGTCATCATGTGCTGCCCCGAAGAACTTGATCTCATTGACATGACAACCTGAGTACAATTTAGTGTGAAGCGGTCCTCTTGCCAAGTTATATAATTCTTCTTTGTAAGAGGGTGAATTCAATTCCTTCAATTTGTTCATCTATTATAACATATACAAAAAGTTAAGTTGTTAGTGTGTCAAAATTTAAAGACGGGCTTCTTGGCATGTAACAAAAAGTTAAATATGCTAAAAAACACATACAACTTAAATGTTCGCAAGACCAACAAGGAAACAATTCACAGTGCTTCTTGGCATATAAATGTGAAGGATGTTCCCGCTTCATCAACTGTTCATGCTCTTCAAGGTATGGCATAGCCTCATCACAATTGTTGAGTATGAACCGATGTGCTACCTCCATGTCCTTTTTGGTAAACAATTCACGTTTCGTTGAAGGGTCGCGTGATTTGGGAAAAAATAGACAGTTTCTCTTTTATGACACCACCATCATTATTGCGCAACAAACCAACCGTGTTGAGCAAAAACCTTTTACGCGACGCATATAGTCCGTCGTGCAATTTTCTAGCATCAAATCAAGATTTTACTACCTTTTTTTTTTCAAACATTGCGCGACGAATGTGTACTTTTGTCACGTTAAAATATTTTGCGCGACAGAAAGCTTCATCCCCAATGGCCCGTTGCGCAAAACGTTATTGCGTGACACTTCTTCGTCAACGTTGAGCGAAACATTTTTGTGCAACGTAAGCTTCGTCGCGCAATTTTCCGTTCGCAAGTGTGTTTTTGTACTAGCGTTAGCATTTATAGGGTCTTTCCAAAAGAATATATTATGAATAAAGGTTACACGCATAAAATGAAAATGTAAGGTGATAATGGGTCACCTTGCCTAATTCCCGTAGAGGGATAGAAATCTCCATGAGTTTTACCATTCATAAGAATTGAGAAGGAAGTAGAGGTTATATACGTTCCCTGATTAAGTTAATCCAATGGTTATTAAAACCAAATTTTTGTAAAACAACCCTAATGTCATCCCAACTAATGAAATTATAGGCTTTTTCTAAGTCTAATTTAATAGCCATTGCTCTAATTCAACCATTTTTACCTTTTTTGTTTTTGTTTTTTGAACAAACGATATTATCTACACTAAGGTGAATGAGGTGGGCTAAGCCTCACAATGGGCTAGTAATAATGTGGTTCAAATTCGCTTTTGGCGAGAATCGAACCTAAGACCTCAGACTTACAAGTGAAGAGAAATACCACTAGATTGTAGTACTACTCTTTTTATCTTTGAAAGAGGAAAAAATTTCATGGGCAATAAGAATGTTGTCATGAATTGATCTTGCACGAGCAAAAGCTCCTTAATTCTTAGAAATACAGTCAACCAGTAAAGGTTTAATTCTATTTAACATAATTTTAGTAATAATCTTGTAGGTTACATTGCATATACTAATAGGTCTAAAATTAGCAACAGCCTCAAGATTCTGCAATTTAGGAAATAGACCAATATTCTTATGATTAATTAATCTCAATCTTGAGCAACTTTCAAAGAAATCTTTAACCATATCACATCTATTACAACAGAAGGTCCTACGATATCCCAACAATTTTGGTAGAAAGAAACATGGATGCTTCCAGCGATATATGAGAGAGAATCTCAAAGGAAAAAAAAACTGGTGGATAACTTATAATAAAATAAAATATAAAGTTAAATTATTATCAAATAACAAAATATTGTAGTATTTGTTAAAATAGCTAATGTAGTTGAAGATGTCAAGTTAAATTAACTAGCTATTGTAACTTTTTGACTCTATTAAGTAGCCAATTTAACATGAGTTTAACACAACTTCAGTAATCAATAGTACATGGATTTTCTTAATTCCCAAGATAGTTGTACAGTTGGTTTAGAACTAAACATTTTTGTGCTAGATTCACTGGCAAGCATCATACAAAATCGAGATCCACTTACAAATGAGAGATGTAATCAACAATGCTTACTCTTTGTTCTCTCTTTCCTTTTTTTTTTCACTAACCTCCTTTCACTAACCAGAAAAAAATATGAACAAAAAGAAAGTGTGGTGTAGTATATTATATTGTGTTTGTACTAGTACTCATAGAAGCTGTGTCTTTGAGGCATGCATTCGTCAAATTCCAGTCTTGGAGCAGTACAAGAGTAACCCTTTCTGAATCTGTTGTTTTTGCTTCTAAGCACATTCACTTCCACTGAAAACACAGCACACACGGGTCTGTGATCGGAGAATCTCGACTCCCCGCGAATATAAGATAATTGCTCAAAGCCATCCCCGCGCCATAGTATCCGATCGCACCTATAATCAATTCATTTCACAAAGATCAACACACCGCTCTAATTTTGAGCTAATTGAACAAATTAATTAGGATTAATGTTCTTTTGCCAAATTTATGTTGCCAGATTACAGTCTAGATCCACAGCTTGACAAGAACCAATTATCTTAAATATCCAGACATTCTGACAAGAGAACGTTTCCCACCAAATTAATATTCTGCTTAATTTTTTTCTGGTAGTAAATTAACAGGGGAGAGGATTATACCATGCTGGGGTCCGTCGTTTCTTCTTGGACTTGGTAGTTTCTCCAGCGTAAGAGTCTGAGTTATGAGAGTACTTGTAAGTGGGGGCAAAGAAGATTTGTCCCTCCTTGAACCCATTAAATACCCTCCCAGCTTCTCTTTCCATATTCAACTACATGCATTTGTTAATCAAAATCAAACACACGAAGCGTAATTTATAAGAAAACTAATTAAGACCATTCTTCAGTGTAGTTCACATATGCGAATAAATTAATCCACAGGAAATGTGTTTGAACAAAAGCAAATCAACTAAGTGAACCATTTAATATTGGATGAGAAGTTTTGAGCACTACTATTTTATAAGAGTATTATAACTGACGATGTCTTCTAAGCTCTAAATGCAATGGGTTTCTTCGTACAAGTGGATTGCACTTATCTTTATTATTAACGAGATGATACATATGATTACTTGAGTTCGTAGAAATAGTTTTATTCCCAAAAAATAGCTTCAAGTTATATATAAGCACTAGGCAATAAACTATTTAGATCACACGTGTGCGCATCCATATATAGGTAGAGCCACGTGTGTTTCTGAATTTGGCTTCTAGCTAATGAAAGAAAACGTTGTATATACCCTTTTTAATTACTTGAGCACCAAAATAAGACAAGGGTATACACGACGAGAAGAATAATTTATTTTATGAGTAATGTGGTTTTAAATGTCATTTATAGATGTGACCTAGGCTAACATACTCATCTAGAATGGGGCACTAAAACGAACCTGATCTTTTTCTAAAAGGGTGTCCCAATCATTATCCTCCAACAAAACTCTTGTTTCTTCATAGCTCAAAGCCACTCGATAATTCAAATCTCCAAGCCATATTATCCTTCTGCAAAATTATATATAATCAGAGGAACACAAACTACTGATCAGAACCAAGCTGAACACATACTATCAATTCAATGAATGAATAAATAAAGCGATACTTTGGATGCGATCCCTAATCCTTAACATTCTTTGATTAAAATATTAATAATATTCAAAGTTTGATCAAAGTCCCTTAACTTTGTACACCTCATTATATTACTATTAATATTTATAGTTTTGACATTAATTGTTTGATATTTTATGAGATTTATAATCCTATAAATTTAAAATCCCTCATTATAATACTATTAGAAATGGTTACAATAAAAAAATTCAAACATTTTGATTGAATAAATGGATAAAAACTATGTAAAAATAATAAATAATAAATGGCAAAATAATGTATCCATAGTGTTAAAAAAATGGTATATTTTGGTACATTTCACATATAACAAAGTGGTACATTAATAAAGAAGAATGGGTACATTAGAAATAAATTAGGATACAGATAAAAGATTAAAAATTATGAATACAAATGAATTTTTAAAAATATAGGCGCTAAAAGAAATTTATACATGGGTACAAAATAAAACTAAAAAGAAAATACTACAAATTTAAAAAAAAAATGTTGCAAATTAAAAGTGGGTACAAACTAAAAATATAAATATATGATACAAAGTTTAGGCATAAAACATAAATATACCATATATAATTTTTCTATCATTGATTAAATGTCACGTGACGGTATACACATGGGTACAAACACAAATAAAACTTTAAAAAATTTGGGCACAAAAAGAAACTAATATATGGGTACAAATTAAAAATGAAAAGAAAATTGGTACAAATTAAAAAATATTAGCAAATTAAAAATAGGTACAAACTAAAAATAAAAATATATGATAAAAATTTTAGCCGTAAATATAAATATACTAATTGTAACATTTTTATCATTAAAGGAATATATTTAAAAATAAAAATATTTTATTATTCAAATAATTAATGATGTTATTAATACCCAAAGACCTTGATCAAAAATTGAAAATGAATAGGATTTTAATCAATGGAGTAACAAAAAGAAGGATGTGAACCTAATTTTCTCATAAATAAATCAGATTTTTTTGGAGTGTAAATAATAGCTTTTGAAAACTTGAATTGAACGCAAAACAAAAGCAAAACAACATCAATTATCCTGCAACCATCTTCATATAGAGTAATATGTACGTACTCATGATCGGTTATTCTTTCGCAAGGGCGACGGTATGGATTCTTGCAAACCTTGGGAAATTGTGCGCTTTTAAGGATCTCAATCACGTCGGCATTCCTTTTCAGCTCATCGCCTTCCTTCTCCCCGGAAGCCAAGTGACTGCACACGAAGCAAAAGCTCGTTTGGTGCAATGTCATGCTTATTGATATACATCCCTGCAAATTAATGCGACAATTTAACAATCAAAGCTACATTTACCATAGGAATAAAATGATGAATCATGATTTGTTGCCATCCTTTTAATTACTATAAACAAAGACTATATATTTGTATCATATTTACTCATTACATTGCAGACTAACGACATCTCCGAATAGAACTGAAACCCAACTATATATATTATAATCAAGATTTGTAATTCGAAAAGTTGTATTTCAGACCGATAGACAAAAGTGACACTAAAGTTTTGTATACTGATGGGAGCCACATAAGGAGACTCAAATGTGTAGCTCATATCTCTATTAGCAAAATGAGATGTTACACTAAATGATATAAGTTGACATTGCATATAAATTTTTATCAAAAGTCTTACTAACCTTGTTTCCGAGGCAGCCCATTATTCCTCTTCCAACCGTGGAGACTCTGAGATGGCCAATGTGAGGTACTAACTCCTTTCGAACCCAAACCGATACGAAAATACCTACCATCTTCTTGCTTGTTATAAGGCGGTAATTCATGTCGCTTGAGGAAGATGGGGACTGAATCCCAGCAATTGCAAGAAATTCATCTACACTAGTGTCGCTTCCAGAAGTAAGCCGAGGAGAAATTGAGCCTAATTTACTAGTAGGATCACTGAGCTTTCTTATTCGCCGCCTTTCGTGGGATGGAAATTCCACGGGGCAGTTGCAAGACTTGAGAAGGCTACTATTTGCCTTGAAGCTTTTGCTAAGAGCTTTGAGAGAAGGCTTCTGGAAGATGTTGAGACTGCCTGGGGACTTGGATTCCTTGTTGTTATTCGATGAGTTGTTGGAACCATGGCCTGATGAATCGGAGGAAGAATGCATATTGTAGGACGCATTTTGCGGTTTATTAAGTGCTTGGCTTATGAGGGCTAGCCATTTTGCTGCTGGTTCATTGTCCTCGATCACTAAAACGTTTCCGGCACTCAAAGGAACAATTTCCTGAAACCTTATGATATATAAGAAGAAAAATACAGTACTGTTAATTAATTAGCCGCCCACAAGGTTAATTTTCTGTGTTTTTACATGATTAATTATTCTTTTCAAAATCTCAGTAATTTTCTGTGTTTTTTTTTAATTGATAAAAAACAAGTGATGGTGGTTTTCTTACGTACCCTAAAACATAGATGTCGGAAGACCCCTCCACCTGCAAGAAATCTTGGAGGTTCAGGCCATTGTTGGGTGACTTTCCTCCCACGTTCCATGTCGCAACAAATATACTGCGACGCAATGAACCACAATTTTCAATATTCATTGAAGGCAACAAATAAATTAACAAATCCTATATATATAGGATATTCATATTTTTATTTATTTATTTATACAACCTCATGTCTTAGTCTCATATATAGCTAGAAGATGATGTCTTACCGGAATTCTTTCGTCTCAGTTGCTGGCGCCATAGAGAGTTCGAAGTTTGATAGGTTTAGGCTTTCAATCCCCGGACTAGTCTGTCTTTCTGAGAGTAGATAAGAAAGGAACACCATCTTTACTCTTTACAATTTTCAATTTGCTCAAATCTCACGGAGTCTACTTATAACCAAGTTTTCCTATATGGCAAAGGTCTAAGGTCGAAATAGAGCAATGAACCACAATGTCTACTTAAATCAACTTTCTCATTCACGAAATAATAATACTTAAGACATGTTTCCTTATATGAAATTGATATTAGAATTATTTGATCTTTGACTTTAATGCGTTTACTAATATCTGAATTATTTAAATTATTCATCCTGACTTTAGCGTGTTGTGCCAAAAATCAAACTTTTTTTTTCTCCCTTTCAGGTCAGAATACGCCCAATGATACTACAATTTATAGAAGATGATTCTGGCACCCCTCACACCGGCCTTAGTTTATTTATGAACTCTTTGGACTAAATAAATTAAAGGTGGGACGTGATTTTTATTTTTTGACAAACGATAGTGTTAATGTGTTAAATTGTTAAATGACAAGGGGGAGGGGATCCGTAGAGATCGAATCCACACCAGAGTGTGTAAGCATTATTGCTCCACCATCTGCAAAGCCGGATGGAAATAAATAGAGGTGTGCAAAAAAAAAAAAAAAAAGATATGTAGTTATTATTTTCCTAATTTATTTAGTAAATAAGGCCTAATTTTTTTTTCCTATATAAGCCGATTTGGCAAGGAAATTTTGTCAATCAAATAGGAAACTAGCTTCCGAGTCGCTCAAAGAGATGGGTTTGGCTTTTTAGCCAAAATAGTCCTTCACATAACTCCTCACTTAATTGGTCTCTGACAATGAAAATCAAAATCTATAGAAGTAGTCATTGAATTTGTTCACCGTAAATCATTTTGATTCTTCCGTAAAAAATCTATCTATATCCTCATTCAGTGAAGGAGTTGGTTTGACAAAAATACCTTAAAAGGTGGGTCACTTGATCATTCATGTGACAATTTAACGAGGATATTGACATATTTTTTTACAGAATGATCGAAATAATTTACAGTGGACAAATTCAGGGACCACTTCTATAAATCTTCATTGTCAGTAATTAAAGTGAAGAATTATGCTAATTTTAAAGAACATTTTGAATAAAAAAACAATGGGTTTCACGCAAGTTATCTCAACTGATCCCAAAAATATTTCATAGATTTTTTACCATTTCTTCTCTACATCAAATTTAATTGTATGTGTAATAGTTTTTGCTAAATTGGTTCTCTTAGTTTCAAGACAAATTCTTTGCTTGGTTGGAAGTCTTTTCATGATGAGACGAAGATATTCAATCACGAATTTCATGGATCAGGATCCTCTCCTGAGCAGATGGAGAGGATCCTCCTGACCAGGCTCATCGGGCCGTTCATCTTTTATTCAACGGTTATAATTATTATAACTTTTAGAGGGGCCCCCTGTTTGCAACCATTGGATAAAAAATGAACAGCCCGATGGGCCTGGTCAGGAGGATCCTCTCCATCTGCTCAGGAGAGGATCCTGGTCCGAATTTCATTGCCTACTAACACTACTTAAAGTATGTTAAAAGTATTTTTAAAATGACCGGATAGCTTTTGATGAAAATGTATTTGGAATCTATTCTTAGTAAAAATATAAATAATTCCTAAAAAAGTATCTGAAGTTTTTTTATGCAAGAAACACATAACTGTTGCTTTTTCTAAAATGCACTTCAAGTGCATTTTAAAATCCATAAGCACTTTCACAAATAGCATTTTAAGTCAAAAGCACTTTCCAATGAGCATTTAATGCTCACAATTCTTTACAATTTCTCGCCTATTCTAGTCTCCAGAAAATACACCTTTATTGCATTCCTTAGAACATCTCCAAATGAATTAGCAAAAGTGTTCTTTAAAAGTATCATTTGCTAACTTCTGACCCATTTCCCACTGTTATGCTACCATAAAAATTTGTCACTCCTACCCACTCTTCAAACCAACTTGTTCAAATTTTATCTTTCACTTTGAAAAATTAATAACTTTATCTTGTGGGGCTCAAATTTTATTTTCAAACTCTTTACTAAACAATAATTTTGAATTAAATATGCTGCGGAACCCAATTTGTAAATTTGAAAAAAAAAAGTGAGTTACTAGTTCTTTAATTTGCTATTGAGTTGCTACCTCCGTTTGAATGCATTTTTCCTACCTGGCATAACAAATCTATTTTGCCATCCAAATACTATAACTTTGACATTTGGTGTATGTACTATTACTCCCTCTAAATACAAAAATATTTTCAATTGGTAATCAAAACAGATTTTTGTTAGGTAAGCTACCAAACTGGGACAAGAAGAGATAAGGGAAATTGAGTCCCTCCGTTTGTGGTAAGTGGCCTGTCTCTTTCGTTTAGATTCAATCTAAGTCTGACCCATCATCCATCAATTAAATACATAGATAAAAGAACATTCTAAGCTTGATTAATTTCATCCATAACGTGATTATAATGCACTATAATCTTCAACTATATGCTTAAACAGCATACCTGAAAAATTCTTTCTAATGAAAGGAGTTGCCTCCATGAAAGCTTTTCTCCTTGCAGCAATCTTTTTCTCAAATTCTATTAAAAAAAAAAGCAATAATTATTTGAAAAGATCAATAACAAATAGGCAGACAGATATCATTATATATATTTGAGAGATGGAGATACCAAGATCAATTATCCCATCCCCATCTGATTTGTATATATCTTCATCTGAGCCGTCCCTCCCACTTCTCTTTGAACCAAAAATCCTAGGAATGATAGACTTCATCCCAGAACATACATGGTTAAAATTAAAATTAAAATAATTTTAGGAAAAGCTAAATGAATGAAAGTAGGAACAGAAATAAAAGTTTAACCAGAAAACGAAAAATGTATACCTTCTTCTTCTTTTCATTCTTGGTAGAGTTATCGGAGGCGGAATCCGCGTCGTCTTTGGTCATTTCGAGGTTGGCATCTCCAACAGAGGAAGACATTCATCCGTTGATGTTCTCTTAAATATCAAATAATTTTGTTAGACATGCACTTTCAGTAAGTATCTAGTTAATTTGTAATTATCTCATCTCCGATGTTATACTGCTGAAATTTATTTTCTGGATTTGCTCTCTTCATCAATAATGTGGCTGTAATGTTTTTTTATTTTTTATTTTTTGGTGTTTATGAGTTTGCTTAATGTGATTAATGATTAATGATTTTCTTCCCTTTTTTTTCCTCTCCGTTCTGTTTGGAAGGATGAGAATTTGGCGGCAAAGCTTTCGGAGAACTTAGGACGGTAAAGAGGAGAAACCGTTAGTCACAGTGCACTTTAATCCCACACCCTACCAACTGTACACAACACGCTGTCGTTGTCATCATTTCATCCAAATTTTCTCTTTAATGACTTTATCTACAATATTGTTTTAAAAAAGGAGGCAGATTGTCTGCCCTCCCATTACCATGTCCTTCCCATCCCCTTCTATATTGTGCGGTCATGGTTAAGCAGCATCAACATTCTATATTGATTTTTTTTATAGAGATAATAAGACATGTTGACGTGGCTTAACTGTGACCGCACAAATAAGAAATGATGGGAAGGGCATGGTAAAAGGAGGGCATGCAATCAGCCTCCTTAAAAAAAATACATGTGTGTGTCTAGAGTCTAGACTAGGGGTGGTTTTATTGATATTGCACATTTTGTCGAACACACTTAGGGCTGAAAATGATTTGAGTTCAACTGATTATCATTGTGCTCAAGTTTGGTTTGTTAAATTTTTTTCGAGCTCGAATAGGTTTGGCTTGTTTCTTACAAGAACGGAGCCTAAACGGGTGATCCGATAACGATCCGATTAGTTAACGTGTTGATGTTATTTTCGTATTGGGCTGGTTATGAAAGAAATTACCATGTCTAATGCAAACACTGGCTCTGGAGCATAGAAACAAGTCTATACAATTCAAAAGCTCCTTAGTTGTGATCATGCCGATGTAAACGATCCTCATGTTTGCGGTTTCGAGTTAAATCAATTGTTTAAAATAACGATTTTAACCCCTTTTTAACATAGGATTAACGGAAATTTAAAAAAATTCAAAAAAAAATTCAAAAAATAAAAAACTGTCGATGGGGTTCATCATAGGTCTTTAATTAACAATTTCACCACAAAGGTCCCACTAAAAGGGAAAGAGATCATCTCCGGATCGCTTCCACTAAGGCCACCGGATCAAGTGATCCGGGCCTTTGAAATTTGATCCAACGACTAAAGTTATTATACCTTTTAAAGGGGGCCCCTGTTTTTAGCCGTTAGATCAAATTTCAAAGGTCCGAATCACTTGATCTAGTGGCCTTGATGAAAGAAATCTGGAGAGGATCTCTTTCCCACTAAAAGTACTCTATCTCCGTAGGGAAAGAAATTGGTCTTCAAGTTTTAATGAGGACACATGTACGATTACAAAAATAAATGAATATATGAAAAATGATAAATATATTGTAGATATTATATTAAAGCGTGATTGTGAACATCCTAATAGATTTGGTTAATAATAATTCTTTATGAATGAATATATGAAATGATAAATATATTGTAGATATTATATTAAAGCGTGATTGTGAACATCCTAATAGATTCGGTTAATAATTATTCTTTATGAATGAATATATGAAATGATAAATATATTGTAGATATTATATTGAAGAGTGATTGTGACAACCCGTCCCAAATTGAAGGTAACCAACCAGAGAATGGGGAAAGGAGGGAAGGAGGGAGAAGAAAATGAAGGGAAAAACCGGGTTTCCCATTGACCCGCTCGACCCGACAAGCACCACAGTCAAATTCGGTCATTTTCCGGAAAATCAAAGAAAACCACCACCTAGAAACAACTTCCTAGACTTCCATCTTCCATTTCCATCCAAAATTAGAAGGGATTTGGTGGTAAATTTAGGAAAAATGCACCGGTGGTGGGTGTAGGTGTACAACGGCAATCTACAAAACGTGAAGCTAACTCAGCCAATTACCACCACTAGAGCACTCTCCTAGAACCCAGGAACAAAGCCCAGGCAGTGGTAGAGGCGTCGGAGCAAGTTTGGAGGTCGAATCGAGCGCACATAAGTATAGGGTTTCAGACGGGTTTTAATAAAATTGAAGCTCTTCCCGGCCTATTTGGCCTTGTTCATAGGTATAAAAGTTACTCTACTTATTGAGATCTTCATTCCTGTAAATTTTGATAATTTTTGGAAATAGTTGGATTTTCAGGCGAGTTGGGGCGGCCGATCACCACCCGCGGCGGAGCGTGGTCAGGGGACCGTCGATGTTATCCTTAGGCTAAATTAGATTTCTTGAGTTCATTTTTGGCAATTGTATATCGTAGGTTGATCGTTTGGACCTAAACTCATTAGGATACGTTACTTGGTAAAGATATGAATCGACGATCCGATCGTTGGACCGTCACCAAACTTTAATATGTTATAGTACGTAATATTTGAGGACAATAGGAACTTACTGATCAGGAATTTGATATACAGATCTTCCTGAATTTCATTTGTAAGTTCGTAAAATAAAAGATTAACCACCACTTGGTTTTGGCAATTGGCGGAGATCCGACCGTTGGATCATAATAGAACTTTAGGATGTTGTTTCTAGAAGTATAATGTGGATCTTTGGAAGTAACGGATCGGAAATCTATGATGCAGATCTTCTGAATTGAATTACATAGGGATATGTTTTATGTAAATTATGTATTCTATTGGTAAGAACTTTGAGATGTGATTTGATAATTATTCTAGGCGACGATGGTTTGTGATGTCTCAATATGCGTGTTAGGGAGTCGTAGCGCCGACCTTAGGTGAGTGGGTCTTTTTCTTTCTATCGTATGTGTGTATATATATATATATACATGATTGATAATTCCACAAACGATTATAAATTGATTATTGCATATAATTACTGTGAATGCTTTGAAGTACTAATGCGAACTACGAATGGCTTGATCCCTGTTGAGGGTACATAGGCAATCTAACGAGACGTTAGATGCAGCCATACCATAAATGAGACTAAATAATTGAGACAATAGCCTTGTTTGGGAAATTGTGCAATGCGAGGGACATTGGTGGAAAATGTGAGATTTAACCTTATGACTTGGTGATTGGATGTTGATCATAAATCATTGTGTGAAGGATCAAGAAATTGAAGTAAAGAATCGTAAGTATTGATAGTTAGTCAAATTAGTGTTTAGTTGAGCTTGTCACCGATAATTATTCCCGACAATTAATAGTTTGGGAGTAGGGTGTTATAGATTGTGCGTTTTACGCCACGTTATTGATATTTATATATAGATATAAATATATATATATTTGGAAGCACTACAATATGGTTAAGTTTTGGATTGCATCAGGGCATGTCCATAAGTATATTATTGAGCATAATTATTGTGAATGCTTCAAAGTACGAAGGTGAACGCATGATGCACAGATAAGTTCAGGTGAGTATATGTTGTGAAATGTGGGATGCATGGTTATGATTACATTTTATTTGGAATGATTTAGTGATGGCATGTCTATATTTATGTTTTAAGCAACTCCGACATTGTCGTACAGGTTGTCTATAAGTAGTACATGCCATATTAGATACATTTAGAGCTCATAACCCTGCACCCCGGTGTTAGTGTTCTCACCCGAGGACATGGCCTAGCCTTCACATGATTGTTCACCTCCCGCACCACACGCTCACCTTGGATTCAAGGTAGGTGCCAACTTGTTGTACAGACCATATTAGGTGGTTCCGACTCGTAGGTGACTTGCGATATTTCGCATAACCTTCACGTGATCGTAGCACTTGAGTGTAATTATTTACACCTAGCCTATCGTACAGACCACAAGAGGTGGTTCCGACTCGTGTGCAGGGATATGTAATGAGCTATGGGTTCAGCCGTACAAACCATAAGAAGTGGATCCGGCTGACCCATTACTGGGATATTGACTGATGAGATATGGATAAGTGGTACAAGTCACTATAGGTGACTCCGACTTATGTGCTAGCGTTGATTGATGAGATATGGATAAGTTGTACAGGTCACTATAGGTGACTCCAACTTATGTGCTAGCGTTGATTGATGAGATATGGGTGCAGTCGTACAAGTCACATTAGGTGACTCCGACTTGCATGCTAATATAGATTATTGAGCACATGATTATTTATATTATTGATGAGTTGCTGTGTCGTGGTATATTCGTGGAATTACTGTTGATATATTTTTTATTTCACATTGATACGTGATATGATTTTCTGGAAACTATACAGTTGTTGCATTGAGGGGTTATAACGTTTTAGAAGGCTTCTATTAAAAATTTATTTCTAGGGCCGCTCACCCTTGTTTTGTTTTCACCCTCCAGGTTTTATTAGCTGAGCTTTCTTATCGTCGAGGATTCGTGACAAATCTTAGTATTGGAGACTTCTTTCGAGGGTATGATTCTTAAACCACTCTACTGTACTTACTTATGCTCTAACATCACATGTGAAATTGGTTCATTCCCGCTCACCAGCGCACTCTGGTTTTTAGGCACTCTTAGGTTTAAATGTATTCACATTTTTCCACATAATCATACTTTATGGCTTCGTTACCTTCCAGGTGTCGGCCAACACAACTCGATTTGGAATCCTAGTGGACATCCTAGGTCGGGGTGTGTCAGTGATTGTGTACATCCTAATAGATTTGGTTAATAATTATTCTTTCTCTATAGGATTGTATTTACTTGGAGGATAAGTAATTGCTCTCCTCTTTACTACTATAAATAAAAGCACTGTGTAAGAGAATATTACACACATAAATATCTACACTTTCTCCAATCTCTCTTTTGCCACACCCCTCTATTCCTTGTCAGTAAAATAGGCCACAAAAAACTCATTTTAGCTTTTCACACACTCCTGTTTAATTATGTCTTACTTCATTAGATTTATTCAATTCAATGATTTTAAATTAAAAAAAAAATGTGTGAAAACCAAAAAATAAATGTGTGAAAATCACCCTTCACCTTCAGGGAACATTGTCTATTTTTCAAACATTAAGCTTTGGCCCTAGTAAAAATTAGTTTTTTCAAGCACTTACGCTTGGAGGGCGTCCCATTCGGTTTGAAAAAACTCATCCATAGATTGTTAGTTATTGACATGACTGATAACTAAACTACATGCCAAACACATTAATTAAACACGTATAAAATTAACA